AAATCGATTGAGCTTCCGGTAATGTAACAACACAGCCAACCCAATAGTTAATTATTAAATTCTTAACTTCCGGTGGTCCAAACGCGACATGACACATAGATTGAYTAAAAGGTAAAAACTTAAGTCGACCTAGCCTTCGGCTAATAAAAAAAATCCAATTTAGTACTCGTATGTTACTCGTATTTTGTCGTATGTTACTCGTATTTTACTCGTATTTTACTCGTATGTACACCTGYAGTAATAGTTGTATATTACTCGTACGTTGTCGTACTATGTAGTCGCATGTAGTCGTATGTTACTTGTATGTTACTCGTATGTAGTGTTAGATSTGATCAAATGAATACAGGTAAATGTCATGACGTTTCATGGTCATTAGGCTCTTATCTTATGTATTTTTAGAATTCACTTAACGAGAAAAATGCCTGCCTTTTAATGCACTAACAACAATGCTATTTGTACGACYCACATATTAAAGTAATGCTTTCTCTGATTACCCTCTTGCTATTTACATTATTAATTTCAACTACAGGGTATTAGTGTTTCCTGTCTTACTTAAACTCTTGATTTATGTCATCTTATTTCCACAATCTCTGGTATTTTTGTCCTTCCTGTGGCTTTACGAGKTKTAGGGATAATGTGTTTATAGAAGCCTTATCGAGAGGTTATCAARGAGTAAACGTTTTCATTTCGCTCAACTAATGCTTCCTGCTTTAAAGCTCTTATTTCACTTTCATCTGTGTTTTTTCTCTTCTTTTGTCATCTCTTTTTTGATAGTCTTTTAATATGTAATGTAAGGTCTATTTGAAAAACCTCCAATTCGCGTTTTATAACAGAAATAGCATCAGCTTGTTTCTTCAAAAATGAATTTGCAAAAATAGTTGCTTTTTTCGAATTGAAGCAGAATGTTTTTTTTTTGGTTGTCGTTTTGTTTGTTATTTTTCCTTATAATAATAAATAGGAACTATAAATAATTTGTTAGTTTTTGTGTAGCAGTTGAATKATTTTTGGTTATTTTTGATCAATCCATTTACTTTCGATTCATCATTTTACGCATAGTTTGTATTGATTATGTTTTATGTGCGTATCCACTTGCTTATTTATCGATTAATACATCAGTTTATTCATTAATTCAAACATCCATTCATTTATTCTACATGGACACTGGTGAAAAACGCTCGCGTCTTGAAATCTACCTATTTTATTTGTAAACAGAGCACCTGGCGATTTTTGTGAAAGTTTTTTACAATTTATAAGCTCGTTRACCGATATATAAGATTCATATTTCCATCAATCTTTGTTCATGATAGGTTCTTTTAGTATGTAGTTTCTATTTTTATCTTGTCATTCTATTTTGAGAAAATKAGGTTTTTCGTCTTTCATCAACAATTGCTTCCGTTASTTAACCATGCATCTCTTTGTTGTTGTTTTTCAGAGAACCGTACCGAAGACATTTGAGAAATCGATGAGTAATCTTCAAGACAAGGTGACTTTACATTGCCAGTACAGAAATCCTGTTGTTGTTTTTTTTGTTTGTTTGTTTTTTCCTCACCTGATATTAATTTCGTCTCGTTGTTGATTAGATCTCTGATAAAAAGAAGACTATCAAGGAGKCGAAAAAGGACTTGAAGGACCTGAAAGCCACAGCTAAAGAGAAGAAGGCGGAATCGGCTGTAAAGTGAGTGTCTCCACGATACAATCCACATCTCATATCGAGAGAGTTATTATCAATTTTGATACTGATGAAACTCAACTCACGTTATTAGTAAGGAATTGGTGGTTTTAGTTATTAACACTTGTGTTCTCACTTATTTACTTAAAAGATATTCCATATCAATGAATGTGAAACCTACTATAGGTGACTACCTTTTTCGATAAATACGACATTSCGAGGCCGGAATTTTGCTAAATAAGAGAGATACAGTTCACAGTTTTCCCTGCGAACCCCAGCCCACACATAGCCGATTTTTGGAATGGCTAAACTGTTCTTTGTGGATTTCCACGCTGCGAATCGAAATCCAAAATGCATCAGAATATACAGCTGTTTTAAACTAGACTCTCTTAGAGCGTGAATTCGGGCAAACTTTTTTGGAAATTTGAGAAAGAGGATAATACATGTGCGCGCGGATACGCGAACGAGTGAAAGATTCTTAGCACGAAAAAATAAAATTCGTATCTCCAAGCGACCATGTAATATTCGGTCTATCATACATGATTATATGAAAGCAAATAATGTCATAGAATTTCTTTTTTTTTATTTTTTATTTTCTACTTCCAATATATAGTGAAACCATGAATTTTCACTAGTTTTAATTAATGATACTCTTCTCTGACGGCTTGGTACAACGAAGTCAAAACACTAGAAATGTCGAGGCAGGAGTCTTCGGTGCTTCGCGGGTAATGTTACTGAATTTGCGACGCTTATCCGACGCCAATTATGCATATTAGGTAAATTTTGTTTTCCGGTTTATGACAAAAAGGAAAACATTTAGCAAATAATTTACTTTAGGAAGGGTACTTTTTTGGCTGTGTGGGTAGATGGATGGATATTTAATTTCTATTTCTTATGCAAAAGAAGATTTGTCGTATCATAGAGGTAAATAGATAAGGAGTTATATGAAGGGAATGGTGGTCAAAAGTTTTTGCTATTAAACTTAACAAAGTTTTAACAAGAAATTGAGGCAAACTGAGCATAACAAGTCTTCAACTTGACTTTATAGGGCGGTTGAAAAGAAGAAGGGCCAAATACAACGACTTGAGGAACAGTTGTTCAAATTAGAAGTGACTGCCACAGACAAGGAAGAAAACAAGGAAATTGCTCTTGGCACTTCAAAGTTGAACTATTTGGACCCAAGAATTACCGTAGCATGGTATGTTTTTTTTTCACGGTGTCACGTCATGACTGGACTAAGTACAGTTGCTTTGTCCTMTTTGTTTTGTCATAYAATAGCGGAGCTCCTGTGCGGGCCGAAGGCAGAGGGCCATGGCTAAGACAAAATGGTAAACAATCGAGTCCATTTTTGGTGGACCGGCTAAGGGTTCCCCTGGT